GGGGGGGGGGGGCTTGTCCCCCGCAATAAATATATTTTTTTTTTATTGGCGCACGGCCTAGCCGCTTATTGTTATATAACCCCAGAGAGGAAATGTCTCTCTGGGGAAATTATTTGTGTTATGATTTCAGTTTCTTACTGTTGATATTAATGAAATTATTGTGAGTTGAATCAATTGGTCACTGTATTAAGTAGCGCCATCATAAATTATGATCTACATAATATGATTACTGTAGAACGTGCAAAAGACTTAATGGTTATTTCATGATACATGAGTGTAGAGGAATAGTAAAGCATGTTGTATAATACAAAAAATATAAGTACTTTGCTCCTGTATTGTAGTATCCTGTTTAGTTTGTTGTCTTATATATCCCATCAGTTTGGGATATATGGCATTTTTAACAGGCGGGATTTATGCCCAAAGCATACAAAGTGCACAGATTGAATTCAATGTACTAAATACAATAAACGCATTACATGAAATATATACCTCATGTCATAACACTTGTAATACATCTGGGGAGATTGTAATTATTATTTATTATTTCATATACTTATTTATCATTCTGATTTCTTAATAAAACTTTATAAACGCATTTTATAAGTTATTGTGTTATTTTACGTCTTATTTATATGCGTTATTTGTAAATTTTTTATGAGTCATACATACTCCCCCTCCTCCTATGAGTAGCCATATATTCCAACCCTATGGAATATACAGCAAAAATGAAAGGGTTTTAAAAAGTTTATTTTTTAATACAAAATATCAATATTTAGGATTTATAATATTTTTAATAATAGTAGACAGTACAAAGTTTTTACTGATATTGTTCATTTACTTTAAACATAATAAATAATACTTAATAAATTAAGTTTCTGGTAGGCGTATATACCGGAGTTACCCTAAGAGAAGTCGACAAAAGAATTATTATAACACCAACGAAATATAATATAATAAGAACTCGAGATGCTCTCGGAGCGTGTCTGTATTAGTCTACGGCAGTTAGTCGACTCTCTCTCTCTCTCTGGACTTTTCGACCTCACGTGCCCTTCTAATCTCGTCGCGTCTTTCTAGCAATTTCCATGCCTTTAAAATATTATTATGTACGCGTGTATATATATTTACTGCTTATCATCGTTTAAAACATTAAGTTATATTACAACGCTCAATCACAATAATTTCTATGTAAAATTATAGTACAAATTAATAAAATCTCGTTTTACAGATGCATTTCGAATTGTCATTCGTCTAACCGTTAGCTCAGTATATGCGACAGTAGAGGATAAATGCGGGTTCTAATAATAGGAGATGACGTGACCAGGCCAGGGGGCTGACGGCACGGAGGAGAGGGAGGGGTATGATGTCACGGTGGGGGGCGACGTCGCTAGGCGAGGGGGCTGACGTTACAGGAGAGGGGTAGGGAATGATGTCACAGGAGGTAATGTCACTAGGTGAGACAATGACATCGCGGGGGTGTGCGGGGAATGGGGATGACGTCACAGTGAGTGCCGTTGCGGGG